ATTATGTCCGGATTCTGCAGTCTCCCCCCACACGCAGACGAACTCTCCTTGGAGGATTTGGCTAAATTTCCAAGTTTATAGCAGGACCCTCCTCGAAAGCAACCTTGAGACTCAGTGAGGTTTTCCGAGGTGAATTTAAAACACTGATATTACACTATCACTGTACTTACTTACCAGGTACGAACCTGCTTAGCATCAGATATCAGCTACGTTGAGGATGAGTGTATCAGCTCAACACCAACATTTCGGAAGCCGAGCAGGCGTTGTACCTGGTTTGCGCTTATATGGGAGACGGTCTGGGAATACCAGGTGCTGTCGGCTCGGGGTTGCGAGGGGACCAATGGTAATGCATGTCAGCTGAGTGCTGGATTCTCGAATCTATCTGTGCGGAGTTTGGAGCGTGACACTGTCGAGTACGCGTGCGGGGTTGGGGTTCCTCACAGAGGGAGCCAAGCTCCCGCGTGCTTGAGACTCGCCGACGACTTTAGTGGAGACGAACGTCGCTTGTGCGGCTGCGTCGGTAGTGGTGCACCAGCACAATGACAAAGATCCCCCGTCTAGCCTTTCACAGACTTTTGGGGCAAGTGCTGTTAGCGAGTAGCACCCATGAAGAGCGGAACGGCAACACACGAGGGGGTGAGGGCAGAGTGGGTGACCAGCAACAAACCCAGCTCCATTAATCTACCTCGTTAATCATTTGAGGCTGAGTCGACCTAGGGGAGGCCCAGGACCGGTTCAGAGAATCGTCGCCGGTGTTGGTAGCCGTGAGCGGGAATCGAACCCGGGTGGCCGGGGTTCGTAACCGAGGGCAAAAAAATAAAGAAGAACACCCACACAGAGACAGACACTCCGAACATTAGTCAATAACAGTGTTCTAAGAGGGAAACATTCATGGTAACATCGGACGTTTCTGGCGATAGACCTTCTTGTAATATTGGGATGGATGAGGTCAGGGTCGAGGATTGTCCGTGACTATCGAAGCAGCTTTGTTTAACGGTGGAGGGCTCAGGGGAGTGGGGGTTGGGGCTGGACGGGATGGGGGAAGTATGGACGTGGAGGATGGGGGTGGGGGAGGTATGGACGTAGGGGATGGGGGAACAACTTTGAAATTAAATAAATTAATCTGACACCGCGTCCTGGGGGCCTTTCCTGTGGAGTGCCAAGCACGCGTGTGTGTGTGTGAGTCTGAGTGTGTGTGTGTGTGAGTCTGAGATTGTGTGAGTCTGAGTGTGTGTGTGTGAGTCCGAGTGTGTGTGTATGAGTCTGTGTGTGTGAGTCTGAGTGTGTGTGTGTGTGAGTCTGTGTGTGTGTGTGAGTCTGTGTGTGTGAGTCTGTGTGTGTGAGTCTGAGTGTGTGTGTGTGAGTCTGAGTGTGTGTGGGTGAGTCTGAGTGTGTGTGTGTGTGAGTCTGAGTGTGTGTGTGTGAGTCTGAGTGTGTGTGTGAGTCTGAGTGTGTGTGAGTCTGAGTGTGTGTGTGAGTCTGAGTGTGTGTGTGTGAGTCTGAAACGTGGACTCCCTTAATGGAACATCTTCGCCGGTTGGAAACATTCAGGCTGGGCCTGCCTACGATCCATCCTGGGTTTCATCAGGCTGGAGTGTGTGAGGAGCTCACAAATCCTTGAAAGATCTGGGCAGAGTGCAGTGACCCCGCCGTGCAGGGTGCGGTGACCTTGTGTGCAGGGTGCAGTGACCCAGCCGTGCAGGGTGCAGTGACCTCGTGTGCAGTTACCTCGTGTGCAGGTTACAATGACCTCATGTGCAGAGTGCAGGGTGCAGTGACCTCGTGTGCAGGGTGCAGTGACCTCGTGTGCAGAGTGCAGTGACCTCGTGTGCAGAGTGTAGGGTGCAGTGACCTCGTGTGCAGAGTGCAGTGACCTCGTGTGCAGAGTGCAGAGTGCATGGTGCAGGGTGCAGTCACCTCGAATGCAGGGTGCAGTGACCCCGTGTGCAGGGCGTGGGATCCCGGCTGTGCGGGGTGCGGGAATGGCAGTAGTCGAGGGCCCTGGGTGATCCCAGCTAATTCCCTAGACGAAGATAATCCCGACACCGCCCCTGTCTGGAGATTAGTGGGGGTGGGGGCGAGGTGGGGGGGAGTGGGGGGGTGAACGGGGTGAGACTGAGGGGGTGAGGTAGAGGCGAGCGGGGCGACGCGGGGGAGATGGAGGGGTGAATCATGCCGATCGCAGGCGAATGCGCGCTCCTTCTGGTGAGGTCACCCCCCTGGGCATCGCATCGCGTGCGCCCGCGGTTCGACTCGCTCGCAACCCGTGTGCGCGAGCGATTTCCACCCACGTTCTCTAGAGGGGAGCTACACAGACAAATATATGGGCACGACTTGTCGTTGAATCTAATATCAGGGCTTCATTTCTAATGGGACACTGCCCAGGTTCCACCTCCCCCCTCCCCCACCTCCCCCCTCGCCAATCCCCCGCTACGAGAGCGCAATGTGGGTTGTGAGGAATTTTCTCGTGGTCAGCCCCGCATAGCTCCGGCTGATTTTCAACCCCGCATATGTGATCAGCATACGGCGGGAACAGTGATGGATTATTGCATCTATATGCGCGGCGGTGATTCGAGTGTCTCCCCCTCGTATACAACGCCGTGGTGTTCCCCGGTGTCTCCGGTCCCCTCGGATCACTCCTCGTCTTCGGCTTCCCTGGATTGCGGCGATGAAGACCATTAGAATAATTATCACTCCCAGGCTTCACAAATATGACGAGCTCAGATGCACTCCAAGCGCATCGATGGCATCTGTAACTGCCACGCGGAGCAGAGGGGCCATTGAAGAAGGACCCTTACGCAGAACGTCGGTCCAATGGGAGTGGGGCTTATTGTCTCTCTCACTCGACATTTTCCGGAATGCTGCCAGGGCTGGCTTGAAGAAGTGATTATCTTCGTAAGGCCTAGCTACCTAGCACAAGGGTGCAAGGTGTGCCAGTCATAGTCATGATTTTATTATTGTACCCTACAATCCTGCAATGCTATGAACAGCTTGATAGGAATAACGCGTTGGCCATGAGGACAAAATGAGGCAAGATGGATGTGGTAGCCAAATAATCCACGGGAGCCCAGGTGAGGGAGGTCACGTGGCAGGTGAGGGAGGTCACGAGGCAAGTGAGGGAGGTGACGTGGCAGGTGAGGGAGGTCACGAGGCAGGTGAGGGAGGTCACGAGGCAGGTGAGGGAGGTCACGTGGCAGGTGAGGGAGGTCACGAGGCAGGTGAGGGAGGTAACGAGGCAGGGGAGGGGGGTCACGAGGCAGGTGAGGGGGGTCACGAGGCAGGGGAGGGAGGTCACGAGGCAGGTGAGGGGGGCACGAGGCAGGTGAGGGAGGTCACGAGACAGGTGAGGGGGGCACGAGGCAGGTGAGGGAGGTCACGTGGCAGGTGAGGGAGGTAACGAGGCAGGTGAGGGAGGTAACGAGGCAGGTGAGGGAGGTAACGAGGCAGGTGAGGGAGGTCACGAGGCAGGTGAGGGAGGTCACGTGGCAGGTGAGGGAGGTAACGAGGCAGGTGAGGGAGGTAACGAGGCAGGTGAGGGAGGTAACGAGGCAGGGGAGGGAGGTCACGAGGCAGGTGAGGGAGGTAACGAGGCAGGTGAGGGAGGTAACGAGGCAGGGGAGGGAGGTCACGTGGCAGGTGAGGGAGGTCACGAGGCAGGTGAGGGAGGTCACGAGGCAGGTGAGGGAGGTCACGAGGCAGGTGAGGGAGGTCACGAGGCAGGTGAGGGAGGTCACGAGGCAGGTGAGGGAGGTCACGAGGCAGGTGAGGGAGGTCACGAGGCAGGTGAGGGGGGTCACGAGGCAGGGGAGGGAGGTCACGAGGCAGGGGAGGGAGGTCACGAGGCAGGTGAGGGGGGTCACGAGGCAGGTGAGGGAGGTCACGAGGCAGGTGAGGGGGGTCACGAGGCAGGTGAGGGGGGTCACGAGGCAGGGGAGGGAGGTCACGAGGCAGGTGAGGGAGGTCACGAGGCAGGTGAGGGAGGTCACGAGGCAGGTGAGGGGGGTCACGAGGCAGGGGAGGGAGGTCACGAGGCAGGTGAGGGAGGTCACGAGGCAGGTGAGGGGGGTCACGAGGCAGGGGAGGGAGGTCACGAGGCAGGTGAGGGGGGTCACGAGGCAGGGGAGGGAGGTCACGAGGCAGGTGAGGGAGGTCACGAGGCAGGTGAGGGAGGTCACGAGGCAGGTGAGGGGGGTCACGAGGCAGGGGAGGGAGGTCACGAGGCAGGTGAGGGAGGTCACGAGGCAGGTGAGGGGGGTCACGAGGCAGGGGAGGGAGGTCACGAGGCAGGTGAGGGGGGTCACGAGGCAGGGGAGGGAGGTCACGAGGCAGGTGAGGGGGGTCACGAGGCAGGGGAGGGAGGTCACGAGGCAGGGGAGGGGGGTCACGAGGCAGGGGAGGGAGGTCACGAGGCAGGTGCATGGCGCCGCTAGATTCCCCACCACCGCTTGCCCCGTTTGGGCTACGGGGCAAGGGCAGGGAATGCGGAGAGCGCTTTGAAGTGTTGGGGGCAGTGCTGCTGATGAAAGTGTTTGTGGCAGACAGTGAAGTCACCTGCCAACGCGTGACAACCTCCTCCTCCTCCTCGTCGACTTGCCGCGCTCCGCTCCTCCTCTTGCCTCGTTTATCCTCCCTCTCGTCTGACTCATCTCCTTCTTCCCCCCCCCCCCCACCGCACCATGCCTTCACTCTCCCTCCTCCTCCTCCCTCTCGTCTACCTCGTCTCTTTAGATTCGCTCGTTACCGCTCTCTCTCACTCATCTTCCACACTCCCCCCACTCCCCTTCACTCTCCATCTCTGCTCCTCCACGGTGCCTCCCTCATCACTCTCTCTGTCTCACTCACACACTCGTCCCTCGCTCACCCACACGCTCCCTCGCACCCCCGACCCTTCCACTCTCCCTCACTCTCTCTCTGCACTCTCCCTCACTCTCTCTCTGCACTCTCCCTCACCCTCTCCCCTTGTTGCCCCCCCCCCCCCCCACCTGCCGCTCTCCCCGCAGGCAGGAGGCTCTGCTGGCCGCCATCAGCGAGAAGGACGCCAACATTGCCCTCCTGGAGCTCTCCTCCTCCTCCTCCTCCAAGAAGAAGAAGGCCCTGGACGAGGTGGGGGGCCTCCGGCAGGAGAAGGACCGCCTCGTGCAGCAGCTCAAGCAGCAGGTGGCGCGGGGGGGGGGGGCACGGGGTCACTCGGGGGGCACGGGGTCACTCGGGGTCAACCGGAATCATGATTCGCTTTGGGGTCACGGGCATAGGTCAGAGACATCTTAACATGGTAAGTGTTATAGTCAGGGTCAATTTTAGAGGTCGGGTTCATTGTTAGGCTCAGGGTTCGTCTAGGATTAAAGTGAGGGTCAGGGTCATTTGCATGGGTTAGGGTCGTGTGACACCGTTATGATTTAGAGGTCAGGGTTAATGACCGCGTCTAGGTGAGGACCGGGGCGGCATCATTGGCAACGTGAGGCTTCGGTCAATATCGGTGGACAGGGTCAACCTCAGTGTGAACGTTAGGGTCAGGTGATTGTTAAGACAAGGGGCATTGTTACGGCCAGGCTAAATGATGCAGGTCACTGCTGGGGGCTAAGGCGAGGTTAGAGTGAGAGTTGTTGAGGTTAGGGTGAGAGTTGAGGTTAGGGTGAGAGTTGTTGAGGTTCGGATGTAGATGTGGGGTTTCGGTTAAGGGTTGGGATTGCGGCTTGGGATTACGATCGAGTCTGGGCGTTAACGCTGCAGTTGGGGTGAGGGGTTAAGCACCGAGGTTGAGGATGTGGGTGAGAGGTCAGCAGTTAAAGTGAGATTTGCGGTTTTTGTGTGGAGGTTCGGCTGCAGGGGTTTGGGAGTTGCGGTGAGGATTGGGCTGTGGTTTCGGGTGAGGGTTTAAGCTGTGGACGCGATTGTGGTTGAGCTCAGAGGATGGTCTCGAGTTAGGATCCTTGTTGGCGATGGGGCATTCATCACGAGTGTCAGGGTCAGGGGTTAGGGTCAGGGCCAGGGGTTAATGCTCCCTGAGGCATCACCGCTCCCGGCTGTCATCCTCGCGTTCTGCACCCCCTCCCCTGCCCCCTCACCCCCCCCCCCCACATCGTCTGCCATCACCGCGCAGCTCCATCCGGTCCCTCCTCACCCTCACTCACTCCTCACCCTCACTCACTCTTCACCCTTACTCACTCATCACCCTCACTCACTCCTCACCCTCACTCACTCCTCACCCATACTCACCCACACTCACTCCACACCCACTCCACCCTCACCCACTCCACCCTCACCCACTCCCTCCTCACCCATACTCACTCCACCCACCCTCACTCCCTCCTCACTCCCTCCTCACCCTCACTCCACCCTCACCCACTCCCTCCTCACCCACTCCGTCCTCACCCATACTCACTCCACCCACCCTCACTCCCTCCTCACTCCCTCCTCACCCTCACTCCACCCTCACCCACTCCCTCCTCACCCACTCCCTCCTCACCCATACTCACTCCACCCACCCTCACGCCGCCCTCACGCCGCCCTCCCCAGGGGCCGATATAGACATATCAAACTGTTTAAACGCGGTCATCCTACGTCCATAAACAAGACGTAGTACAACGCATTGTTCTCTGCTAAATATCAACACCAATTCTCGCGCTCACAAGGCACGGGGCTATCCCCCCCCCCGGACCCCCCATTGGGGCACCCTCACCGACTCACCTAACCCCGGCCCTGCTCCTCGCCGACCCGCCTCACCTGCCCCCCCGCCCCCGCCTGGCTCGCCCCGCGCCCACGTGACCGACCCCTCTCCATCAGCCAGCCCGCGCTATCGGGGGTCCGGAGACGCGCGCTGATAACGACTCCCCCCCCCCACCCCCCGCCCCCCGCCCCCCGCTCGCCGTGACGCTGAGCAGGCCGCCTCGGGCGTCACGCCGCACCCTCCTCCTTCCTTCCTACCTCCTCCACCTCCTGCTGCTGCTGATGCTGCACCACCTCCAAAGATAAACATCCCCCGTATAGTCTTTAACAGACTGTTGGGGCAAGTGCTGTTAGCGAGTAGCATCCTTTGAAGGCCGGGGCGGCACACAAGGGGGTGGGTGGTCAGCACCACGCCCGGCCGCCTTTGTCTCCCTAGTAGCGATGTTTACACATCGCAGCAGGTACTTTTTTGAGGTTGAATCGACCTAGGGGAGGCCCAGGATCGGTTCAGATAAGCGTCACCGGTGTTGGCCATGAGCGGGAATCGAACTCGGATCGCCAGATTGGTAGCAGCGTAGCGCTAACCGCTGCGCCTTCACTCCCCATCACCTCCTCCGACTCCTCCACTCACAGCCCCCCACCCGCCCGCCCCCTCGCCACAACGTGCCAAGGAATGTGTTCATTCATCACCATCAGCCATGATCAGTCCACTGCTGGATGGATGAAGGCCTGCGATGTTGAAGGACCACCCGGTCCCCGCCTCTGTACGCGCCCATGTCACCATGGCTCCATCCCGATTAGAATGATATTGTAATAGTACTTTGCAGTCCCTCTGCTAATCCACTGCTGGATGAAGGCTTCCGTTAAGATATTTCTCGCCACTCATGGTCGCCGTGGCTGGAAATGTCAGTCAGGATGGGCGGGTTCATAGCACAGTGCGCAAGCCACTGCACCAACGCTCCACCCCCAGGTGTATTCTGCCAAGCGGCCAGCAACAAACAGCACCATCTTAGTTGCAATAGCTAAGAGTGTAATGCGCGTCTTGAATTGGACAAGGTAAGAGCCTGGAGGGGGTAGAGACGACGATGGGAGAGGGGATTCCAGAGTGCAGCAGTACGAGGGAAGAAGCAGAGAGGGAAGTGAGGTGGCCTGTAGAGTGGTGGTGAGTGGGTGGGTGAGGTGAGTGGGTGGGTGAGTGGGCGGGTGAGTGGGCGGATGAGTGGGCGGGTGAGTGGGTGAGTGGGTGGGTGAGCAAGGTGAGTGAGTGGAGGGAATGGGCGAGTGCCGGGCCACCACTCGCCCCGCCTGCCGCTTCACTCTGTCGGGCGCAGCAGTGAGGTGAGAGCCGGATGCCCCATCCCATCGATGAAACAGCAGCAGCAGGAAGAGGAATAGGATTCCCACTTGGGCCCAATCTGTGCTGTCACTGTAGCAGTGACGATCACATTCTATCAGTGTTTTGGAATCTGCAATAAAATGATGGACTCCCCCCTTCGTCCCTCCCCTCGCCCCTCCCCTCGCCCCTCCCCCCCTCGCCTCTCGCCCCCGGGTTGCCTGGAGCAGACACAGAACCGCATGAAGCTGATGGCGGACAACTACGATGACGATTACCACCGATCACTGGGTCGTGGTCCCGTGTCCAACCAGGGACCGTCTCCTGACCAGGCACGTACCCACCAACGCCACGAAGTGACAGGCGACGTCGCCACGGCGCCTGTGCCAGGCTAGGTGCACTTTGAGGCGACGTGAAAGTCTCGAATGCTCGCTGACAGGAGGAGGTCCCTGGACAGACCCAGCAGGTGCCATGGGCTGACTGACTGAGATCACTGGCAGATGCACTAGCAGCTGTGCTCCCTACTGTGCCAACTTTCGTACCCACACAAACACACAGATACATACACACACAGAAATATGCATATACATCCATACAGATACATGCATACCTATACAGATACACACAAGTAAATATGTAAGTATATGATATATAGATCAGTACTGAGGAGACAAAGGCGGCCGGGCCTGGTGCTGGCCACCCAACCTCCTCGTGTGCCGTGCCGGCCTTCGTAGGTGTGACTCGCTAACAGCACTTGCCTCAAGAGTCTAGTAAGGCTATACGGGGGATCTTTGTATGTTGCCTGACAATGCGTGGTGAGCGTCTCATCAGCCCACCTCACCCTTCCCTCTTTGTCTTTCTGCCCCCTTTGCTCTCCCCCCTCTCCCCTTCTCGGCCCCGCTCACTTTTCCCTACGGTGGCTTTCACTGCCCCCCCCACTGCCCCCCACTGCCCCCCCCGTCTCAAACTCCCATGCCCCCCCCCCCCCTTTGTCTCCACCTCGCAGGACGATGAGGAGGGAATTTGGGCCTAAACAGAGGCGCCGCGCCCACCCGAGCAGCTGTTTTGTTCAGAGGGGTGAGAAATGCGTGACCCCAGCGCCCCGTGGGTGTGACCCCGACCCCTCCCCTCCACCAATGCCCCCGCACCCCGCCCCCCTCCACCAGCCCCCGCGGTCTTCACACCTTGCCTCCCCCCCACACCCACCCCACCTGCCCACCTCTACCACCCCCCACACCCACCCCACCTGCCCACCCACTCTACCACCCACCTCCCCCCCCCACACACTCCACCGAGTCACTGCCACACGGAATGTTCGTTTGCGTTCATGTGCATTTGTGTCATCGCCACGAGGGAGACAAAGGCGGCCGGGTGTGGTACTGGCCGGACACCAGCCTCGTGTGCAGCACTTGCCCCAACAATTAAGTTCACGCTGTACGGTGGAACTTTGTCTTCGAAGTGTGTCTTTGTCTCTGTGTCATTGGTGACACAAAGACAAAGATCCCCCATATAGCCTTGAACAGATTGATGGGGCAAGGGCTGCGAGCGAGCAGCACCAACGAAGGCCGGCACACACGCGACTCCGCGTGCAGCGTGGTGCCGTGTGGTGCCGTGGTTGGCATGCGGGAATGTAAGTGGCTATGTGGGTAAGTAGATAGTTAGGTGTTAAACAGTGAGGTAGAATGGTAGCTAAGTCGTTCGGTAGACATGTCACGCACCTAGGGGGGGGGGGGGGGTCAGACATTTGTGACGATGTGTGACGAGCGGGGGGGTTGAGAAATGTGACGTCACATCAAAATGCGCAACTTTAAATTAATATAGACAACACGTTCTACTTAATTAAATAGACTTCTTAATGAATGTTTTCTCCTACAACATCAGAGTGCAGCGCCACGTTAAATACGCACTAAAATGACAATAGTTTAAAGCGATTTGAAGCATGTTTAATTTGGGGGGGGCAGAGCTTTGTGACGTCATATTTTAGGGGGGGGGGTCTGACTTTTGTGACGCCGTGTGACGAAGGCGGGGGGGGGGGCAAAAATCGTCCAAAATCGCGTGACGCCATTTATGGACGGCCCCTTAGTTAAGAATGCAGGTAAATATGTAGCTAGGTCGACAGCTATACAGGTGGGGAGGTAAGAATGTAGGTATCTAGACCGGCGAGCAGGTGCATCGCCAGGTAGGTGGCGAGGTGAGTAGCAAGCTGGCTGAACAGGCAGGTATGAGGAATCCCACCCGGACCACGATCCCTCGGTCACGTGACACGCCCCCCCCTCCCCCCACCGTGGGGCCCAACTGGTTTTGTTGGCGGGCGCGCGTCACGTCAGAGCGGGGTGGAGGGGGGGGGTCACAGCCACGTGACATGGGGGGGGGCGCCAGCTGGGCACACTAATTCACTCATTTGGCGGGGGGGGGGGGGTGCCTGGTGCCTTCACCGAGGTCCGCGTGACAGAGATAGCTTCATCGCTCCACATCGCATGGAGACACGGGGAGACACGGGGGCATGGAGACACGGGGAGACACGGGGGCATGGAGACACGGGGAGACACGGGGGCATGGAGACACGGGGAGACACGGGGGCATGGAGACACGGGGAGACACGGGGGCATGGAGACACGGGGAGACACGGGGGCATGGAGACACGGGGAGACACGGGGGCATGGAGACACGGGGAGACACGGGGGCATGGAGACACGGGGAGACACGGGGGCATGGAGACACGGGGAGACACGGGGGCATGGAGACACGGGGAGACACGGGGGCATGGAGACACGGGGAGACACGGGGGCATGGAGACACGGGGAGACACGGGGGCATGGAGACACGGGGAGACACGGGGGCATGGAGACACGGGGAGACACGGGGGCATGGAGACACGGGGAGACACGGGGGCATGGAGACACGGGGAGACACGGGGGCAGGGAGACACGGGGAGGGGAGACACCGGGGGCATGGAGACACGGGGAGACACGGGGGCATGAGACACGGGGAGACACGGGGGCATGGAGACACGGGGAGACACGGGGGCATGGAGACACGGGGAGACACGGGGGCATGGAGACACGGGAGACCACGGGGGCATGGAGACACGGGGAGACACGGGGGCATGGAGACACGGGGAGACACGGGGGCATGGAGACACGGGGAGACACGGGGGCATGGAGACACGGGGAGACACGGGGACACGGGGACATGGAGACACGGGGAGACACGGGGGCATGGAGACACGGGGAGACACGGGGACACGGGGACATGGAGACACGGGGACACGGGGACACGGGGGCATGGAGACACAGGGGCATGACGACACGGGGATACGGGGGCATGGTGAGGACACATGAGTACAGATACACGGTAGATGGAACCCACGGGGACTTCCATCAGTTGTAGGCTCCAGGTTAGAGCCAGCCTCGTCTCCACCACCCCTGGGACCCGTGCTGCGTTCGTACCGGGCCGGCGGTGCCCTGCTCCCCCTGCGCCCACTCAGAGACCCCCTGCGATCTTGCCGGGTCGGGGGTCCGTGAAGATCTCTGGGGGAGCAGGGGGCCCAGGCGGTATGCCCCCACCCCCACTCCAAAGGGCCCCCTCCCCCGGGTGTCCCCTCCCCCCGACTCCTCGTGGCCCCACGTGGCCAGCTGTGCCGTGATGACGTGCGGCTTCCCCCAGCGCTCCCCCTCCCCTCCATCCTCCCAAACTCCATGGGAATTCACGATACTTGTTGGAAAATTTCCTTGGAGGGGGGCGGGGGGGGAACTGAGAAGAGGATGGAACGCGCCTGCCCCGCCATACGGGACGTCTCTATGGGGCAGCCAGGCCAGCTGGAGGGGGGCACGGGCAGGGGGTAGGGATTTGGGGGGGGGGGTGAAAGACAGGGCTACGCAGCCGCTTTGTAGCGCCCGTGGCTTAATTTCTCACTCAATATTTGCGCGTCTCTCTAAGTCTATGGGTCTCTATGTACGTCAGTGGGTCTCCGTGTAAGTCGGTGAGTCTTTGTAAGTGTATGGATCCCTTTGCAAGTCAATGGGTCTCTGTGGGAGTGTATGGGTCTCTATGTAGGTCCCAGGGGTTCTGTGTGTGAGTGTTGTCTCTTTGCAAATTTCCGGACTTAATTTCCCACCGAACGTTGTTTTTGTGGTCGCTGGTGTCGACTGGAGTAGGTGGCTGGCGCGTGGTGGAGGAGCCGCAGCCACAGCAAGTGCGGACATTGTTGTCGAGTTGCCAACCGCGACAGGTTCGGCTGAAATGAAGCCCTCGTTATATCGTTAGTGGGGTCCCCAGTGCCCCCCTACACCCACCTCTCCCCCCCTTCCCCCCACTTGTGCTGTCATCATCGTCGTCATCATCAAACAACACGAGGCTCTCGCTCATCATCACCTCCCTCGTGCGTGCCACGTGGTACCAGATGTCCGACGCGTGCACAATTGGCTCGAAGCTAACCACGGAAGCCTCGCTGAGCTTCCGTGTCACTAGTGAGTGTCACTGAGTGTCACTGAGTTGGCGCGGTAGATGCTGTCCTGTATGGTTGGAATTTTTACTGGAAATACTGTTACCTTTGATTAGGGGCGGGGGGTGAATCGCCTAAACGAGGACGCGATTTCCAGTGTCCCCCCCGTCCCCGCCCGAGTCCATCAGGAATCAGCAGGAATCAGCACGCGTGAACCCACCTTGACCTGCGACCCTTGCACACCTGACCTCCTCCAGGTGTCAGGTGGAATGCAGAACCCCCCCCCCCCCCCGCTGCACACATGTCGCCCCCCCCTCACCCCTTACCCTGCACACCTGGCCCCCCCTCCTGCCTCCACACCTGGACCACCTCCTTTCCTCACTCCCCGACACACCTGGCCCCCTCCCTCCCCCCGCCAGGCTCTCCCCTCCCTTCGCCCCGCCACCTGCCCCCCCTACCGTGACACCCCCCCTCCCCTGCCTCCTGTCACGTGGTTGCTCGTGTTTAGTCTGAGCACGGAGCGGGATCTGATTCAATGGGCGAGACACAAAACAACAACAGCAGCAGCAACAACATGGCCATTGAACAGCAGCGGCGAGAGGGGGGGCGTAGATACCCCCCCCCACTCCCCCCCTAAGCCACTCCCCCCCTCCCCACCCCCCAACCCCCCTTACAACCTCCGCCCCCCCAAACCAACTAACTACCCCCACCCCTTATCCGACATCAACCCTACCTCCCTAGCCGCTATTTATGTGCTATGAAGTAGGGCTATTGCCCGGAACGTCGACTCTTATATACGTTGCCTTTCGAGGACATAGTGTAATTGACGAATGATTGTTTTTTATCCAAATAAGCGCTGTGTATTCGAGTGTAAGAAAGTTTAAATTAAATTATAGATGGGCTGTGTGGTTGTATCTGGTAATGTGGTGCAGTCTGGTTGTGTGTGGTGTGAGTGGTAGTGTGGTGCGGTGTGGCTCTGTGGTTGTGTGGTGTGTGTGGTAGTGTGGTGCAGTGTGGCTGTGTGGTAGTGTGGTGTGTGTGATAGTGTGGTGCAGTGTGGCTGTGTGGTAGTGTGGTGTGAGTGGTAGTGTGGTGTGTGTGATAGTGTGGTGCATTCTGGTTGTGTGTGGTTTGTGTGATAGTGTGGTGCGGTGGTGTGTGGCGTGTCTGGTAGTGTGGTGCGGTGTGGCTGTGTGGTAGTGTGGTGTGAGTGGTAGTGTGGTGCAGTGTGGCTGTGTGGTAGTGTGGTGTGTGTGATAGTGCGGTGCAGTCTGGTTGTGTGTGGTTTGTATGATAGTGTGGTGCGGTGGTGTGTGGCGTGTGTGGTAGTGTGGTGCGGTGTGGCTGTGTGGTGTGAGTGGTAGTGTGGTGCGGTGTGACTGTGTGATTGTGTGTGGTCAGCGTGGTTGGCTACGTACGGTGCGAAAGAAATTCAACATATGCACGTCCATGTGGTGTGAAGCTATACAACCACGTAGTGATGCTCTCACCCTGTGTCCGTGTGGGGGGTGGCCGTGTGGGGTGGCCGTGTGGTGATGCGGGCACTATGTGTGTACAGAGGCCTGGCTCGCCCCCCCCCGTCGTTTGCCCCCCACCCCTCCCCCCCCTTTCTCCCCCCCCACCCCTTTCTCCC